TTATATTGGTTTTATCAGTGCTTTTGATGTGGATAGAGAAAGACAACACAGAAGCAAACAAAGACAACTTGAGGTGAAATAGTGTAGTCTAGCATGGGTTGTTTATGCAGACAATCCATATATAGTAGAGCCAGTAATGAGTCCATGTAATGCAGGGCTTTACCAGTGTTTACCATATGTTGTACATATGATTAACGTTGCATCAAAATAAGTTAATTGTTGTGTTTTTCAGGTCGAGTTAGAACAGCACAAAGCAACAATTAATTCTGATTTAATGGAGAGGAATGAAATACTGGACAAGCTCACGACAGAGAGAGGTATGGTAACTAAAATGCTAGTGACATAACAGATTGTCACGATACATTTGAAGTGAATTTTGTGATTGGTTTAGAAATCAATAGGATGCTCTTCCAATCRATAAAATAAAAATGAAACCAAACCTAGCAATGGAGGGCAATCAAAAAGCAGTTTTCTAAGGATTCATAACCTGCCAGGAAGGTGATATTATTTGGCTGGAAAAATTACAAACATCTGCTTACTAGTATGTGAAATTAAAAAAAAAGAAAGAAAAAAAAATGGAGCATTGTCACCCTTGGAAAGTCACACACAATAGTGCTAGCTAAAAGATGCTTACAAGAACTTCACCATTAATGTTTACAACACTATGATGGCAAAGGAAAAACAAGACAAAAATATTTGCAATGCAGTTKTTATAATGATCAATTATTATTCATTGTCTTTTATTCTTTAGAAACTGCAGAAAAGATCCAAGAAGAACTTCGTGAACTAAGAGTTCAGCATTTTACCCTAAAAGAGCAGCATGATACATTGAAAGAAAAAATGAAGTTCTTTACTCGGGTAAGCTGAATTAGAAAACAATGGATTCTAGTCACCAAGAAAACAAAGGTCTTTCGTTTTGTCCCCTCCCCCACCCCCCCCCCCCCCCCTAATGAAACTGGTATGACATCACATGGAAGATGGCTATATCGCTGACAGTATAGCATTATTTATATGGTTGATAAGTACAGTTAGCAATATACAAGTCCTCATGTTCTTTGTTTCAATATTAGGAGAGTGCTGTCGACTTCCAGGAAATCGAGGAAGCTTTAGTTTTAATCAAAGTAAGTACTGTACGCTATTTGCTTGTGATGACCGTCCGTTTTCTTGTTTGATTTGTCCTTATTTCATTCATCCTTAATGTCTTAACGTCTTGTGAGCATCCAAGCTAAACAAGCAACCTTCTTGGATATCTCCAGCATAAAATTTAATTTTTCAGCAAAGAAAAGAAAGAGGAAGCCAGGATCTGGATTTCCTTGAAAAAGTAGACGATGAACTGGAAAAAGGTTTACATACTTAAGTCAGAGTTTTTGTTAATCATTACGTCATTATTCGTTAGTTTTTTTTTTGTGAGCTGATTTGACTAAATAATCGATTTTTTTTTTTTTTTAGATTTAAAAAAGCAACACACTGAGCTTCAGGCATCACATGCAGACACAATCAATGAACTCGAAAAAACACGAAATATGCTGATAATACAACACAAGATCAATAAAGACTACAAGACAGAGGTACAATAACAATCTTGGACATTGTTTACATAATGTTGTTTTACAAGGACATAATATCTGATTGATAAGTATAATAATATATGATTGCCAAGGACATTATATCAGATTGATAACGAAATTATATCAGATTGATAAGGACAT